TAAAAGTGTGAGCCGAGAACTGAATAACTTGGTTGGGGTGTATTTTGCAGGCTCTGAGACAGAATTCAGTATGCAGGTCATCCAGGAAGTGCCCTTGGGACCAACACCTGTGGAAGCAAATGGAAGAAAAGAAGAATGGGTAGAAGGAGAAATTGAATGCATGGCAGGTCCAACCACAGCCTTGCACAGTTCTGATAGGGAGCGTAGAGCTAGAATGATCCCATTTAGGAGTTAGAATAGGTAGGAGCAAGGGTACTGGCCTTTATAGCCTTGCAATGATCAGACGTTGAGCATGAGCCATCCAGAAAGTAGTAGGACCATGGGCAAGGTTGTTTTCTTCAATTAAGACAATCCCCTGAAGAGGCCATCCACTGAGGGCTGTCCATTGAGATTCTAGTAGGTCAGATAAGAAGACCTTCTGAAAAGGATCGGCTGGTGCATCATAGGTCATGTGATAATCTCTATGCAAGGGGCAATGAAAGAAATGACTGAGTTAGGCATGAGCCTGGTATGTCCAAGAAGCTGAATGAAGGGCAGCGTGACTAGAAGGGAGCAAGCATGGAGACTAGCAGGAGATGAGTCACTAAGGTAGACCAGGGTCGGGCCACACAGATGCTAGCAAGAACTTCAGACTTCCTTGGGAGGGAAGACTTTAGGGAATTATGAAAAGGAAAATTATATAAACTGAATTATGGGCCAGGCACAGTGGTTCACGCCTGTAATCCCAGCACTGTGGGAGGCCGAGGCAGGCAGATCACAAGGTCAGGAGATCGAGACCATACTGGCTAACACAGTGAAATCCCGTTCTACTAAAAATACAAACAATTAGCTGGGCATAGTGGCATGCACCTGTAATCCCAGCTACTCGGGAGACTGAGGCAGGAGAATCGCTTGAACCCAGGAGGCAGATGTTGCAGTGAGCCAAGATCGTACCATTGCACTCCAGCCTGGGCGACAGGACAGAGCAAGACTTTGTCTCAAAAATAAAATAAAATAAAATAAAATAAAATAAAATAAAATAAAATAAACTGAATTATGTTTTAAGAAGTTCTCTTTGGCTGTTGTTGGTGGAATTAACAGTAGGGGAACACGAGTGGAAGCTAACAAACCAGTTGGGAAGCGACTGCATTCGTGTAAGAGATTATGCTGGCTTGGATCATGTTGGTAGCTATGAAGGTAGCATGAAAGGGATGGATTAAAGATATATGTGAAGATAAAACCCACAGGATTTAATGGTGGATTGAATGTAAGGTTGGGGAAAACAGAGCAGTAAAGGATGAACCTACATTTCTGGGCTTAGCAATTGGTAAAATGGAGTTGCCTTTACAGAGTTAGAAAGGACTTAGGCAGGAAAGGGCTGAGGAAAGGGTAGATGTTAACTACAAGGTTGGAGCTGGATATGGTTTGGATGTCATCAGTGTACACGTGGTATTTGAAGTCACAGGAATGAATGCAATCACAAGGATGGCTGATATAAAGAGAGGAGCTCTTTATATCATATATAAGATCATACATAAGAAAATATAGGGCTGAACGCCAGGGAACTTTGGTATTTAAATATCAGGAAAATGTTGTAGCCCCAGAGAATAAGAATGAGAATGGATGACTATTCATATAGGAGGAAAAACTAAGGGCATGGAGAGTCACAAAACCCCAGGGAACCAAGTATTACAGAAAGAAGGAGAGATTTTCCATGTCAAATGCTGCTAAGAGACTACAATAATAATTGCCCAATAAATTTGGCAGTGAAACGGTGATGATTTTACCCTGAGTTAGTTGGGTTGAGGTAAAAACACTAGATAGTGAGTCTAGAAATAAGATTAAGGAAATTCCCTTCTATTCATAATTTACTAAGACTTTAAAAAAATCTAAACTATTTAATTTTATCCTAATGTATTTGTGTGTGTGTCTATTGAGAATTGTTTTTCTCTTTCACTCTGATAATATTGGATTACATTTGTGTGTTTTATGATGTTGAGACATCCTTGCATCATGGGAACGCCCCATTTAATAGTGATATAGCATATAGATATGCAATACATATGTTCTTATCAATTTGTTCTTTTTTGCTTAAGATATTCATAAATGAGATATGACTGTTTTATGATTATCTTTTCTTGTACTATCCCCTTCTACTCTTCCTTTCAAAGTTATACTAGCTCCATAAAATGAAATTGGTAGATTTTCTGCTTTTCTAGTTATCTAGTTATTATACAAAATAATTTGTATAACACTAGGATTATCCGTTTAATTTTATAGAACTGTCTGGCCCCAGGGGCTTTGGGGCAGGGAATTAGGAAGGTTACAGAAGATATTTACCTGTAGATTCCATTGCTTTAATGTTACAGGTTTACTGTTGTTGGGTTTTTTGTTTTTTTCTTCTCCTTGATTTAATTTTGAAACTTGTTTCCTATTTGCTCTCAGGTCATTTCTCTGTCTTCCTGCTGCAAATTCGATTTAGATTTCTAAGACTCCCTATCCAATCAGTTAGTTTTGATCAATGGTAGGCACTACTAGAAGACTAGTGGGGTGGCAGAAAGAGAGAAACCAAGCTCTTTCCCCTGCCCTCTCTTCTGCCTCCAGCGTTGTCTGTCTCTTCCAGGGTTCCAGATCCCCACTAGATCATTTTTCCCTGTCGTCCCAGTTCCCTTTCAGCCTCTGCCATAAGCCCGGTTCCCACCAGTGACCCTGGGTCTTACACTCTAGTAATGCCAACTCCCCTCTTGGTCCCTCCAGTCCTAAGGGTATTAATAACTTCCTTATGTTATTAATCTCAGGGTTGCCTCATAACTGTCTGTTTCACTTTGAGGTTCTCCCTTTGTAGTGATTCTTCTGTATTAAATTCCTTTTACCGGACTACCTGGAGAGGCTGTAAATCTATAAATCTCAATGTATAAATCTAACAAAATGTGTACAGAATCAGTATGGTAAAAATTACAAGGATCCAATGAAAACTAAACATGATCTGAATAAATGGAGAGACATCAGGGGCTCACGGATTAGAAGGCTCAACATAATAAAGATGTGAATTCTTCCAAATTGATAGACAGGCTTAGTGCAATTCCTATGAAAATATCAGTAAGATTTTTTGTAGATATAGTTAAGATTATTCCAAAAAATGTATGAAAAGGCAAAGGAACTTGAGTAGCTAAACATTTTGAAAAAGAATAAATTGGGAGGAAACAGTCTACCTGATTTCAAGACTTAGATAGCTTCAGTAATCAAGACTTTGGAGTATTAGTGGAGGAATAGATGCATTAATCAATGGAACAGAATAGAGAACCCAGAAATGGATCCACACAAAAATACTCAACTAATTTTTGACAAAGGTGCAAAAACAATTCAGCAAAGGAAGGATAGCTTTTCCAAAAAAAAAAAAAAAAATAGGCTGAAACAATTTAATATCCATAGGCCAATAAATAAATAAATAAAGCCTCAACCTAAAGTTCATTCATCTTATACAAAAATTAACACAAAATGTATCACAGGCTTAAATGTAAAATGTAAAACTTTGAGAATATCATTGGAATTTAGAGCTAAGCAAAGTTTCTTTTTTTTTTTCTTTTTTCTTTTTTGAGATGGAGTCTCGCTGTGTTGCCAGGCTGGAGTGCAGTGGTGCAATCTCAGCTCACTGCAACCTCGGCCTCCTGGGTTCAAGTGATTCTCCTGCCTCAGCCTCCAGAGTAGCTGGGTCTACAGGCATGCGCCACCACCTCCAGTTAACTTTTTCGTATTTTTAGTAGAGACGGGGTTTCACCATGTGGGCCGGGATGGTCTTGATCTCTTGGCCTCATGATCCGCCTGCCTCGGCCTCCCAAAGTGCTGGGATTACAGGCGTGAGCCACCGCGCCCGGCTGGCAAAGTTCTTAAAATCTTTTTTGGGTTTTTTTGGTCTTTTTTTGTAGAGATAGGGTCTCATTTGTTGCCCAGACTGGTGTTGAACTGACTTCAAGCCCTCTTCCCACCTCAGCCTCTCAAAGTACTAGGATTACAGGTGTGAGCCACCATACCCTACCGAAGTTCTTAAACTTGATGCCAAAAGTGCAATCCATAAAATGAAAAACAAATGGATTCGACTTCATCAACATTAAAAACCTTTGCTCTGGGAAAAATTCTCTTACGAGGATGAAAAGACAAATTATAAATTGGGAGAAGATATTTGCAAAACACATATCTGACAAATGACATGTACCTAAAATACATAAAGAATTCTCAAAGCACAACAGTAAATTTACAAACAATCAGATAAGAAAGTGAGCAAAAGCCATGAACAGATACTTCATCAAAGAGGACAGACAAATGAGAAATAAGCACATAAAAAATGTGCAACCTCATTAGCCATTGCTACATATCCATTAGAATGACTAATTATTTTTTTCTTTTTCAGAAATAGGATCTCTCTCTGTCACTCAGGCTGGAGTACAGTGGTGCAACCATAGCTTACTGCAATCTCCAACTCTTGGGCTCAAGAGCTTCTTTGGCCTCAGCCTCCCAAGTAGCTGGCTCTACAGACACATGCCATCATGCCTGGACAATTTAAACAAATTTTTTGTAGAGATGGGGCTCTCACTATGTTGCCCAGTCTGCTTTTTTTTTTCTCCCCGTATGTCCTTGTTCTCAGGAATGTTCACTTTCAGTTGATTTGTATAAATAAGTACTCAATTGTGTAAATATATATTTCTATATTGAGGTAAAGAAAATTTAGGACTTCGACTAACTAAATTTTTGAGAGAGTAATGCTTTAAACTCATTCTATTTTACGTAGTTACAATATTCAGAAATTGAGTGCCTATTTTCTGTAAAAATCACTCCATCGTGGTGATGAGGATTCTTAAAATATCTCATCTTGTTTAGCTCCCTGTTTCATTACGCTCAGGGAATCAACTATGTGCACCAAACATATTCAGACTGTTCTCGCATTCCACGGAATATCAAAATGAAAGGTTGCAGCCATGCAAAAATATAGTAACTTATTTTACTTATTCCTTATTTCTTCTCAGGCAGTGCAATGGGCCCGTATTAATTCTCATGGCCATGAACAGTAACTGGGAGCCTCCTGGAATCAGAATACTACTGGTCTTGCCACAGTTCTGACAACCTGTCTCCATCTTCCCTTTAGAAAGCACCTCAGACTCATTCTTCTGTGCAAGGGAGCCGAAGTTGCAGGGGTAGAAAAAATGTTAGGATGTATTTTCCTTATCAAAAGGACGATGACACTAAAGCACTTACTCAATTGTCCCTTTCAGTCTGAAAAAATATAGCCAGTTGTCCTGGATTAATTCTGTTTCATCAGGAGGTTCAGACTCAAAGTATCCCTTTTATCTCAAAGAATCCCAAGTCCTCAGAAAGTTATGTGCCAGATGACAAGTCCTCATCTGAAGACCAGCCTCCTCTGAAGTGTTGGTCTGGACTGAATCTCAAATCTGATATTGATTTTAACTGCCATGAGGTTGGTGAAAGTCACTGAACAACAGCAAGGAAGGCCTCAGTTTTCATCTTGTTGTAAATGGTATTAGATATAGTAGCATCTGCATTTTCAATAGGTATTGAATACCGAAAGTTGTTCAAATATTTTTTAAGGAGATGAGTGTATCACATATCCTTATACCTTTTTTTTTTTTTAAAGGATGTATGTATGTTATTACTTTAACCCTTGTTACTATCTCGTTGTAGAGGCCTGTAACAGTGTTTCCAACTCGAAACGTGAGAGTCCCTTTGCTTATCTCTTCCTTGACAGGTCCCTGTATCCCCAAATTCAATTTAATACACCAAGTGGAATAACTTTCTTGTTGATTAGCTTTATTTATGAGGAATAACAGAATTCTGGAGCTGGAAAATAATATAGATATTAACCTTCTGATATAGATAGTTAAGATAACAAAGCACCAGTAAAAGTCAAGATAAAACAATTAATTAGTATCAGGCCTAGGATTTTAGAATGTATGTCTCCTAACTCCTGCCCTAATGTTCATGAAAGCAGAAGGGCCTGTAAATAAACAGGAATACAAAGTCCATTCAGAAACCACCTGAGATATCCCTGTATTTTATAATGAGTCTATTAGTAGTATAAAAATTGTTACTTCTGACGTGTTATAAACAAAATCAACAATCTCATGGACCCATTACGAGGCACTTAAAAACTATGTTTTGAGGGTTTGAAAGGCAGAGAAAGATAGCCAAAGGAGCTGTCTGCAAATAGGCAGCTTTCCCAGATAGCTCCAGAAGGAAGAATCAACAAATTAATGAATCAGACTTCTTTTAATAGTTCTATTATAATATCTAATCGTGAGTATAAGACCCTATGACTTCATCACAAGGTTTAGCATGCTGGCTGAAAATGTTGACTAAACTTGCATTTTTTTAAAAAAAAACACTAAAATTTGAATAAGCTCTTGACATTTGGAGGAAAAGAAACCTACAAAGCACTAAGTTCACCATATGTAGAAAACCACACTCAGTATCACAAAGATTTTATAAGCCTGACCTCTTTCTCACAGGTAGTTTATTTCTGAATTCTTACTATCTGTTCATGTATCAGACAAGCTCACATAATCCTCCAAATAAACCGGTGTGGTAGATCTTATAATCAATATCGCCTCCATGTTATAAACAAAGAAACTGAGGTTTACGGCAGTTATATAACTTACCTGAGGTCAGGCAGCTAGTATCAAGAGGGCTGGGGATTTGAACCCTAGTTACTGACCGCAGAGTCTAGATCCAAATCACTATGATATATAAGCCCCATTTCATTACAGGTGGAGAGAAGGAAATGTCAATATCCCCAATGTCCAAAACTGTGCCTGACACCTGTGGGTACATAGAATTTGTTGGATACCTAAATAAATAAATTCACAAAGGTAAAAAGGACTGTCTGCATCTTCAAATGGGCTTATAAAGCTCCTACCATATTTATAACGTATGCATGACCTAAGAAGGCACTTGCTGTTACCTTGTTGGTCTCAACTAAATTGCTTCGAAGGTCAAAATGTGAACTGTGCAAGAGTTCACCAAGCTTTCCACTGCCTGTTTACTCTCTGCTGCACTGTTTAGTTATAACGCTGGTAGAAATACTTGATAGTGGGAAACATTTTTATCCCTGAAAAGTAAATTTAGGGAATAAGTCTTTTCAATTCTTGCACTTCTTTAGTGTCTCTTAATAAATATATGAGAAATGCATTCTAATTGGGAGACCTAGCAGTTATGCATGGTACCTGGAGTCAGCCTGAGCTGGAAGCTAGGCTCCAACTCTTGTCATCTGTGGGACATTAGTAAAATTATCTCTGCCTCAGTTTCCTCATTCAGAAAATGTTGTGTGCCCCCTAGGTTGTTGTGGGAACCAAACGAGGTAAGTTAAGTACAAGGTGGGCATTATGCCCAGTAAATAGGACATGATCAGTCAATGTTAACTATTATTACATCAAAAGGATTTTGCTTCCTTCAGTGTATAAAGAAAATCTTAATTTATTCATCAGCAAGCAGATATGAAGTGCCCCTACCCAGCCCCCAGCCCTTACACCAGCCTCTGCTCTGCGTGTAGGAAATTGAGAAACAAGGCAATTGTCTACTTTAACGGGTTCAGGTTCTAGAAAGAGAGTTGGAAGATAAATAAAATAAGATGCACTTATGACTGGTAGTGAAAAGGGGCTCAAAGAAGGGTAAGGGGGATGTAGGAGACGGTGACCAGGAAGGTCTCTGAGGGCCACATCTGAAGGAAATGAGGCATAGGCCCTGCAGACATCTGGGAACAGAGTATTTCAACGGGAGTTCTGGGCATATTTAAAATTTTTTTAGGCCGGGCACGGTGGCTCAGGCCTGTAATCCCTGCACTTTGGGAGGCCGAGGTGGGCAGATCACCTGAGGTCAGGAGTTCAAGACCAGCCTGACCAACATGGAGAAACCCTGTCTCTACTAAAAATAAAAAAAAAAAAAAAATTGGCTGTGAGTGGTGGCACATGACTGTAATCCCAGCTACTTGGGAGGCTGAGGCAGGAGAATCGCGTGAACCCGGGAGGCAGAGGTTGCAGTGAACCGAGATAGCTCCTTTGCACTCCAACTTGGGCAACAAGAGCGAAACTCCATCTCAAAAAACAAACAAGCAAAACAACAACAACAACAACAACAACAACAACAAAACATTTTAAAGGCCCTTGCCTTTTAAAGAAGAGTGAAGGAGGAATTATAGGGGATGGAGCGAGGGAGGGAGAAGGGACAGCCAGATCCTGAAGGAACTTGTACACCATAGTAAGGACTTTGGATTTTACCCTGAATGAGATGGGAACCATTAGTAGGCTTTGAGCAGAGGGCGGACATGATCTGACGTGTATGAGAAGAGTCACTGAGGCTGCTGTACTGAAAATTGACTGTATAGGGGCAGGGGTAGTATTAGGCAGACCAGTCAGGACACATTGCATTGGTCCACGTGAGAAATGGTGTAAGTTTAGGCCATGACGGTAGCAGAAGACAAGATAAGTGGTGGTCAGATTTTGGAAACATTTTAAAGGTAAAGCTGACACTATGTGTTTTGGATTGGATCTTACATGTGAGAGAAGGAAGAGTAAAGGTGACCCCAGGGTTTCTGTACCAAGGCATTGTAGACCAGTGTTGTCACTGGAGAAAAAGGATGTGTTAGTCAGAAAAATAGAACAAATCACATAAAGAGAGAGAGAGAGAGAATTTGTAATAAGGACTTGGCTAGGTGATTATGGAGTCTGTAAATCCCAAGATCTGCAGGGTGAGTTGGCAAGCTGGAGACCCAGGAGAGCCGATGGTGTAGTCTCAGTCCTAAGGCTGGCAGCCTTAAGACCCAGGAAGAGCCAATGTTTCAGCTCAAGCCCGGGGTAAGAAAAGAAACTGGTGTCCCAGTTTAAAGGCAGTCAGGCAGGAGGAATTCCCTCTTACTCAGGAGAAGGTCAGCCTTTTTGTTCTTATCACGCTGTCAACTGATTGGATGAGGCTCACTCATACTAGGGAGGGCAACCTGCTTTACTCATTCTGTGAATTAAAATGTTCATCTCACAGAAACACCCATAATAATGTTTGACCAAATATCTGGGCCCTCCGTGGCCCAGTCACATTGACACATAAAATTAACCATCACAGAAAAAGAAGAATTTTGGAGAGGAAATTGAGAGTTTTGCTTTGGTCATGTTAAATTGGTTCTATTTATTAGACCTCAAAGGAGACTTGTGGCTAAGCAATTGGGTGTAGAGATCAGTGTCCTGGAGATACGGTATTATTCTTTTCCCTTGGACATCCCATATCTAATCCTGATGTGAAATTACTTGTGTTAACATTGACTTTAACTGACTGACTTAGTCCTTAAGATTAAATTGCTAATTTAGTGACACTTATTTAACTATATCACATAACTTATTCCTTAAGACATTATGACTTCTCACTTTTCTGAATCTTCACTTTTGTTATTTCCTCTTTCTGGATGCCCTCTTCTCATCTGTGCCCCCTGCAAAATACCTATTTAAGATTCATGAGATGGCACCATCCCCTCCTTGAATCTTTTCCTAAATAATTTAGGCAAATTTCAGACTACAGACATGGCCATTCTTTCCTCTCTGTAAAGTCTCCCTTCTTTCCTTTCTTCCTTTCTCTCTTTTTCTTTCTTTGTAAAAAGCAGAAAACTGGCCTGGCATGGTGGCTCACACCTGTAATCCTGCACTTTGGGAGGCTGTGGCAAGTGGATCATGAGGTCAGAAGTTCAAGCCCAGCCTGGCCAAGATGGTGAAATGCCATCACTACTAAAAATACAAAAAATTAGCCGGGCATGGTGGCAGGCACCTGTAATCCCAGCTACTTAGGAGGTTGAGGCAGAGAATTGCTTAAGCCCTAGAGGCAGAGTTTGCAGTGAGCTGAGATCGTGCCACTGCACTCCAGCCTGGGCGACAGAGGGAGACTCCGTCAAAAAAAAAAAAAGAAAAGAAAAGCAGAAAATTTTCAATTTCTCTCTTTATTACATATACATATACAATTAAAGCAATACAGAAGAGAATAAGACAGTAAAATCCCAGAGTGGTGAAGTTTAACTAGCTTTCTGAGGTTTATTAGATTCATACACACAAAGTTACATGATTTCATAAAAT